AATCATTTGAAGCTGAATCTGATTATTCCGACGAAGAGGAGGATACCAAACAGGACAGCGAGTGGCAGGCGGAAATGACTGCTATACAGGTGAAGAAGATCAGAATCTTCCCATTTTTAGATTCCATCCCAGAATTCGTTAAACCTTGTACTGGCTTGAACTGGAAGAAGTCTGTGCAATAATCAGCAGAATTTTTCTCTCTCTTCTCAGCGGAATGTGGACAATTGTTTTGGGGAAAATCATGCTATCAACTAAAAAATATAAAATAATTGTACCTTGTACTTCCTCTACCTTAAAAATGCTGTGAGACTAACCTCAGCTGAATTTCTCCAACTTAGAACACTCATCAATCCGAAATGGAGACGATTCGACATCATTATGAGCATCAGCTGAAGAGCATGCGGGAGCGCATTGAGCATGAAGAAGCTCGCCGAAGAAAGTTGCAAGAAGAACTTGTGCAAATAACGGTATGGTCTTATTGCGATTGCGGTTTTGGATATGGTTATATTCTCAGGCACTAATTAAAATTTTTCCTTTTCAGACTCGCAATGACCAATCTCTTACCACTGTAAAAGCCTCATTTGAGGACGTTCTTGAAGAGCAACGGAACGGATTTCAAGAGGAAATGGAGCAGCTCAAGAGGGAACATCAGAAAGAGCTGGAGGAGGAGAAAGCCGCCACTAGGTCTATATACTGTAGCATTCCCTACCATAGCTCAGAATTAATCTATTTTTGCAGATTGGCTCTGGAAGCCGTGAGGCGAGCGCATGAGGAGGAGTTGAAAGCAGCCACATCACGAAAGGTGAATATTGAAAAGGATCGCGACGGAACCAGGCAGAAGTGAGTCCTACAACAGCTCTCTCGCAAATGAATGCTAAATAAATTTTCAAATAAATAAACAACAAATTTTCACTTCAGTTTCAGCGCCATGCTGGAACAAATGCGGGAAGAACTGACAAACCTCTCAGCTGCTTACTCGGCAAAATGCATCGAGAATGCTCAACTTGATGAGCGACTGTCAGCATTGATGGAAGAGCGTGAACGCGGAGGTGACAGGTGAATTTGTTTTTTTTTTTTCATAGACATTTGTGGGAACCTTTTCTCTTACCGACTTACTTGAGAGTTACACTCAAAAAGGAAGTGGGTATTCCACAATGTTTTGCTGCGCCATCATTGCGCAATAATTAACATTTTTGCCGTCTCTATAAAAGTGTTTGTTTATCTCTTAGCCCTCATAACGTTACAAGTTCACTTACATATTCGAATATCAGGCAATATTACAAATAGGGGAATGTGCTTTTGGGAAGAAAGTTTATTAAGAACAATGTCAGTAAGCAAATACTAGAAGTGGTTCACAATGTATTTTCTTAGCATTGAGGCATGCTTTCTGCACTGTAAGCTCTTAACGTACTTAGTTGCGACTATTCATATTTTAGAGTATATACTGAGTATGTGGTTTTTTCCGACCATTCTTGTTATTGGTTTTTGGGATATTTTTGATTAATTTGGGTC